CGAGGAAAGAAACTGTTGGAGTAGTAGTGGCATTTACATTTAACTATTTCAACAGTAAATGGATGGGACCTATATGCCAATCTAGCAGCATGCTTAAATTCATATAAGTCTAGATACCAGAGAAAGACTTGTCAGAGCATTTGGCCATGACAATATTTGTAGAAAATACAGAGAAAAGCCACATCGCGTCGGTGAGAGGGGGGGCCTGAAGTTGAGAAGCCAGTTCAGGACCGATGACAGTAGAGATCTTTCTTTGGCGCACCAGACCAGATATGGCAACAGTATTCAATACACAGACCAATGGTAGATTTTTAGATGTGTGAGATGGACTCTGACGAGAAATACTTTCTGGCACGACACAGTGAACCAATTTACCTTGTGGTAGATGCAGCCGGTGATTCAATGTAATTGTTCCACTTCAAGTCGGTTGAAAATGTGAGACCAAAAGGCGTAGTGAGACGCTCACGCGGAGACGGGCATCAATCACCGTGATGAGGGACAGGGACGTTTCTCTATGGTGGTTAAATGAGAGCAGATTTGTTTGGGAGGCATTTAAAAATTTACAAGCTATTTTCTGACCCAGTCAACCAAGGACTAGAGGTCCTTTTTGAGAGCAGCGGCCAGATTAACTTTGTCAGCAATGCCAGGCTTACTATTGAGATAAGAGTAAATGATAATGTCGTCCACATAGATGCCTACTTGGGAATTGATGAAAATCAGAAACCGTGTCAGACCCAGGATAGTGCCTTGAGAAACGCCCAAGTTAGAATGAAGTCAGGCGTGGGCACACCAGGTGAGTCTAATGTTGAGTTGGAAGTGAATTTACGAGCAAAGCATTCAGCCTTATCTGCTGTAGATGCTAGAATTTCGACTTGATTGAATATAGATGGGATTGAGGATTGTTGTTGTTCAGCACATTCTTGCAGAGCCGCCAATAAACTCTAGAACCAAATTTTCGAGATGCTATACAATGTTTCATTCTATCAGCAAATGGTAACTTTGTTTCCTTGATGACATACCTGCACTCGTAACGACCTGAGACGAAGAGACGCCTGTTTCAATCAGACGTACCGCTCTGGTACAGTCGGAAGAAGTGATCCCTGTAGTCTATAGCGCTCGAGCAAGCAGGTTAGAACCAAGGAGATGAACGCGGTTTTACTTGGTATATCCTAGCTTGAATGAAAGCCTCGGTGTCAGTTTTCACCCAGGAGGAAGCCTCTGACGCGCATTTTTTTATCGGGATGTTTGAAAACTTCGTTCCAAGCGACCTCACGAAGTCCCAGTCTGCTCGTTCATAACAGAAAGATATTCTATTCGTAGGAGATTCATATCTGGTCGGGGAGCGGAAGGAAATTTTTACAGACACTACTGCATGATCAGAGATGCCAAGGGGGGGCAGAATTGCGTCGTGCGACCTGACTCAGGGATAGAGATAAAAAGAGATCTAGAAGAGAATCGTATCCATCAGGGTTACTGGGGAAGCGCGTAGGAAAGTCGACCACTTGCGTGAGGGATTGAGTGATTAAAAAGTTCAGGATTTGGATGCCATAGGGTTCAGTGACAGAACGTTCAAGCCGACTGGTATGGTGGACGTTAAAGTCGCTGAACACGAATATGTTAGTAGACATGTGTATGGAGAGGCCTTGTTTATATTATCAGAAATACTGTCTAGCACGCAACAGTCTTGAGAGAAGAGATAACTAACTGAATTAATTAGAGATCGACGAAGACATGTACGAATGGTCAGGAGGTTCGAGTGAGTTTCTTAGCCAGCGGGCGATGTACTCCCAGGCCATGCATGAGTACTTTAAAGTTCTTTTTAAGCAGAAGAAGGTAGCCAGGAACCGAGAAATCAGAAGAAGTGATTGATGGGTTAAGGTTAGTTTCACAGAAAGCTAGGATGCCCGGAGACTTTTCGAAGAAGAACGATCCCACGCTGTAGAAGTTGGTATGAATACCACGAATGTTGAAGGACTGGTTAAGGGGTTTCGTTGATTTTTGTTGAGCTGGTTAAAGGTTTATAACTTTGGTTGTTTGTAGTCATGATGTGTTATTTTGGTAAAGAAAAACATAGGCTAGCAGTAGCTTTCGGTCATCAAATATAACATGGGCAGAAGAAAACTGGCGCAGACTGGAATATAGTGTGGCCTCGGGGTTTCCCACTGGAGGCGCTTGCAGGGACACCAATCAATGCGCGACATAACACTGCAAGAAACCCGATGTTGTTCAACTGCTGATCAGCGCAGCCTCTTAAGCAGCAACGCAAACGCTGGGTCTCCTAACTACCTTACTACTCAGGAGCACCAATCAAAAAACTGCCAACCAGGTACTCTCAGTATGAAGATACGTTGCCGCTAACCACGCACATCACAAGAAAAACAACACAGTATGAAATGAACCGGGGACCCCTTTCTAAACAGTGAACAAGGGATGAGATTCTACCCTGATCAAGGGAGGAGTATGAACCAGGCAATAGGAAGACGTGTCTCCTTCAATTAAAAAAAAATGAAATAAAATAAAATATTTAAGTTTGAACTTAGTTAAAGTCCTAATGGCAGATCTTCGCATTGTAAAGTTGATAGTCACGTGGGTTTGAGCAGTACAATATTACCACCTCTTTCAAAAAGGTTTAAGGAAGAAAGTGTCAAAGGGGAATAACTATTACCTGTTCGATTAAGTTATTAATGGCTGTTGTATTGTAGGTACTTCAGTCAGAAAAAGAAGTGTCATCCACCCTCAATCAGTGTAATTTTCAGCGTGCAATAATCCAATCATTCATGAACGGGCCTCGGAGTCTTTCTAAACCTCCATAAACCTTAAACTGGCATCTCTACTCAGGATACTGCGCCGGTTAAAGAAAACGATTGATTTACTGTTCAATTTCTGATTCCTCTGCTTATAACGACTTGTGCTAATCCAGCGACAGTAATAAGACTTGCTAATCCTCTAAATTTGTCAAGTGTAACGGAATTTAATTTTCAAAGTGTAAGTTTGAAAAATGATTTTTTTTTCATTTTAATTCTTGATGTCAAATCTCACGGCTTCATTCAAAGCAAGAAATATTTCTAAAGAAATGAGAAAATTCCAGGAAAGATCGACTAATGATTATTTATTTGTTGGAGTAAAAAAATTTTAAAAAAAAACAAATTATGTGCTTAATACCTTATGAATTAGTCTCCGCTTTTAAAGAATCTGATATTAAGCGACATCATACTTCAAAACATTCGGAGAAAAGATAGATTTAAAAGAGATATTAAGAAAAAAAAACGAAACTCTTAAGAAACAAATCAGTGATCTAAATACGCGCTTTTTTTCTAAAAGACAGACAGGACACAAAAGAATTGTACATGTTAGCTATGTTGTTAGTTAAAATTGTGAAACATTTACAAAGAATTATCCCTACTGTGATTTTGTAAAAGAATGTCTTTTTGCAGTGATTGAAATTTTATGTCCGAAAAAGACGGATTAAAGAAATTGCAGCACATGTCGAGGGTACGCTGACAGAACTTATCGAGAGTACTTTAATATAACATATCAAGGGTACCCTGACACAATATATCGACGAAACGCTGATAGAATTTATCGAAGATACGTTGATATAACATATCATGGGTAGGCTTATAGAATATATCGAGGGTACGCTGATATAACATAGCAAGGGTAAGATGATACAATATATTGACGAAACGCTGATAGGACATCGAAGATACGTTGATATAACATATCAAGGGTAGGCTTATAGAGGGTACGCTGACAGAACATATCGAGGGTACGCTGATAGAACATATCTAGGGTACGATGATAGAATATATCGAGGGTACGCTGATAGAATATATCGAGGGTACGATGATAGAATATAACGAGGGTAAGCTGATAGAACATATCGAGGGTACGCTGATAGAATATATCGAAGGTACGATGATATAATATATCGAGGGTACGCTGATAGAATATATCGAAGGTACGATGATAGAATATATCGAGGGTACGATGGTAGAACATATCGAGGGTACGCTGATAGAACATATCGAAGGTACGATGATAGAATATATCGAGGGTACGCTGATAGAACATATCGAGGGTTCGATGATAGAACATATCGAGGGTACGCTGATAGAATATATCGAGGGTACGATGGTAGAACATATCGAGGGTACGCTGATAAAACTTTTCGAGGGTACGCTGATGGGAAAAAAAATTCTTCTCACTGGCTATTGACGGAAGTACTGATATAGCCGATTCGGCCCAACAGGCAATTTTTATATGCAGTATTGATAAATAATTGAATACTATCTAAGAATCCCTTGCCGTTCCAAAAATGAAAGACATAGTTGCAGGATATAAAATATATGAAGAAACCAAGAATACAGCATTGAAGTTGAATCTCGTGTTTCAACGACTCGTCAGCGTAGCAACAGACAGGGCCACGGCAATGGTTTGCTCCCAGGATAGGCTTTCTATCCAAATTAAATGAAGAATTAACTTCAAATTTAGCAAACAGTGAACTTGCAAAGATCAGATGCATAAATCATCAAGTAAGTGTATGTGAAAAACCTGTAAAATTTGTAAATGTTACACGCGTGGTTGTTTCAGCGATCAATTTTATAATATACCGAGCAATACCCCCACTTTAAAGACTTCTTAGAATTTCAATCGGACTATGGCTATCTGGTTTTTACTAGTGTGTTGTTCGTTGGCTAAATAAAAGAGGAAAATGCTTCAACAGTTTTATAGAGAAAAGGTATGCGCTTTGTTAGAAATGAGGGCTATTTTTTTTCTTTTTTAGATGGAATAATGAGCTATAATATATCGACGGTACGCTGATAGAACATATCGAGGGTACACTGATTGAATATATCGAGGGTACACTGATAGAATATATCGAGGCTAAGGCGATAGAACATTTCGAGGGTAGGCTGATAGAATATATTGACGAAACGCTGATAGGACATCGAAGATACATTGATATAACATATCAAGGGTAGGCTTATAGGGGGTACGCTGATAGAACATATCGAGGGTACGCTGATAGAACATATCGAGGGTACGATGATAGAATATAACGATGGTACGCTGATAGAACATATCGAGGGTACGCTGATAGAACATATCGAGGGTACGCTGATAGAATATAACGAGGGTACGCTGATATCGAGGTTACGCTGATAGAATATATCGAGGGTACGATGATAGAATATATCGAGGGTACAATAATAGAATATATCGAGGGTACGATGATAGAATATAACGAGGGTACGCTGATAGAACATATCGAGGGTACGCTGATAGAACATATCGAGGGTACGATGATAGAATATATTTAGAGTACGCTGATAGAACATATCGAGGGTACGATGATAGAATATATCGAGGGTACGCTGATAGAACATATCGAGGGTACGATGATAGAATATATCGAGGGTACGCTGATAGAACATATCGAGGGTACGATGGTAGAACATATCGAGGGTACGCTGATAAAACTTTTCGAGGGTACGCTGATAGAACATATCGAGGGTACACTGATAGAATATATCGAGGGTACACTGATAGAATATATCGAGGGTACGGTGATAGAACATTTCGAGGGTACGCTGATATAACATATCAAGGGTACGCTGATACAATATATTGACGAAACGCTGATAGGACATCGAACATACGTTGATATAACATCAAGGGTAGGCTTATAGGGGGTACGCTGATAGAATATATCGAGGGTACGCTGATAGAACATATCAAGGCTACGCTGATAGAATATATCGAGGGTAGCATTCCTTGCAGATATGACTACGCATTTAAATTGTCTTGGTCATGATGATAAAACTACATCCGACAGCAAGGCTTGTAATCGGGAGGTTTTGAGGAACCACTTCTTACTCGCTGTTGTTTTAAGGTCCACTCTGACCTGGTATGATAGCGCCCATTTGGGTCCCAGGTATGGGAAAATAGTGGACTTCCCAAACAAAAACAAAATACTATGAAAGAATAAAAGTACATTTTATAACAAAAATACCAGCAATACATTTTATATAAAAATTTTTATCATTACATATTTATAGTAACATTACGAACAATACATTTTATCTGTAGTTGAAGGCATACAATTATATTCCAAATATTGAGATTTCGGCATTAAATAACCCACAGAGATGTTGATATGTCGCTAAAAGAATCAATCAACTCATCAAGCAGACAAGTGAGTGATGTCTCATCGTTATTAAGTTATTTCAACCCGGGCGGCCAAGGCCTAATCGATTGAAACTCCTGTTTCGTAAGGCCGAGCTCGTCGATGAGATAATCACGAACAGCCTCACCTCTGCCACTCGTCAACACATGATAAAACGCCTTCTGTGTATCAGGGAGGCGACGCTTCACCTATAGGCTTTAGCGCAGATTTTCCGACATTGCCGATAAAAGGAGCATTCGACTCGAGACAATTAGCAAGGCTCACCCTTTCAGGGATAGAAAATATCTGCGAGCGTCTCCCTTCTAGAACTCACCATTATCGTACTCTTGAAAATGCATTCGTTCCAGAAAGTTCATATATTGGCGAATCTCAACGATCGACATTTCCAGACCGCCTTCACTAGGATGGAGACAGCAGACTTTGTACCGTACCTAAGAAGACTTTACTTCCAACAGGAAGTAGATAAAGTCTCGAACATTAATTCAGTAGAAGGAGAGACATTAAATGGGAATTAAATAGCACCAGACAACGATGTTCGCCTTTAATATTCAATACTAGAGGAAAATAGTTCAAATATGGTGGAGTAAAATGGTGGAGTAAAATGGTGGAGGAAAATGTTTAAACATGCTTTCAATAATGGAAGAAAATGTTTAAAAATGTTTTCAATTCTGGGGAAATTGACAAAAATGTTTTTAGTTCTTGAAGAAATGGTTCCAAAAAAGTTTTCATTTCTCGGGGGAAATATAATAAAAATGTTTTCAATTCTGGGGAAATCGTTAAGAATATAAATAAACAATAAAAAATAGATATTTCGCTTTTTCATCTTTTTAAAACTGTTTTTTTTTTTTTACTTTTTGCATTTTTAACCCTTTTCCTCCAATATTGAAAATATTTTTTAACTCATTTTCCCTAAAAATTGGAACAATTTTACTAAACCACATATAAAACATTGATTAAGTAGAATGTTTCTTGAATGTTGTACACTTATGTTGAAAGTAATGTCTTCAACATTTAAAAACATTAGCAGATTTTCCTATCTTTCGTTTTAGAATTTTTGTTTCTCAGTGAAAGATTTTTTTTCTTTAAATAAATTAGGAACAAATCTTACTATTTTATATACATTTTATTATGTTTATTTTTTTTTTTAAATATTAATTCTATCATTCATTTAAAATGTGCTCCTGTAATTTAAGGAAACAGTTTTAAAAAAATTTAATTCACGGATTATGAAAATATACAATTTTGTTTTTCGAAACATGGTCCATATTGAATACATTGATTTTTTTTCATTATTTATTTTTATATTTTATTTTTTCCGTAATGTATCAAGGCAGCAAAGTGTGTAAATCAAATTGATATCAGTGATAATATAATTCCAAGACTTCAATTTTTTATAGGAAAGATCAGTTTGCCAGAGAGAAAAACAATCCACTTTTACCTTTTTCTATAGTAAATTCATGTGCGTATTGTCTTGTCTTCTGTAGTAAAAAAAATGTTGGGATAACCGTCCAGCCGACAATAACTTTATTGTTTGAAACAAGGTTTGTAGATCGTCCTCCCTACTGAGAAGGCACATGATGATACATAGGATATTTTTAAGGCTAATGCCATTAACATTTTCACTGATGTGAAGCACGAAGAGATAGATCCAATCAACCCAATCAAGGATGTAGTTTCTATATTATATATACCTTAAAAATTTGAAATCAAATACTGGTCTCAAGTATTATCTTAGGGACTATAGACTCCGAAGCAAGACTGAAGCTATCACAAATGATGCCATCGATGAGGGCCGGCTATCAGCTGTGTGAGGTCTGGCAATCAACATATATAAGGCAGCAACACAAAAGTCTTTTTAACAGTTATTTATTTTTCATTTTTTACTGGTGTCTCTCTCTCTGTCTCTACTTGTGTAGGGTTCCATCATTGATCTGCATTCATATTATCGTTTTATATCTGAGACAGAACGCCAACGCTTCAAATTCATGTCGGGTGTTTTTGAGTGACGTTTAGGTTCGTTACCTGTGCGATACCCTGATCCGGAAGTGAAGTCATTTCCTCAGATCATTTCCATGTGAGACGCTTATTAAACTTGCTCGTCGCTCGTGACAGCGCATTGCATCACACACACGCGCGCACGCAGACACACACACAAACCCATACACACACACACACACACACACACACAGATACACACACACAGACACACACACACATATATATAATAATTAATAGCTATGACGGCTACTGTTTTGGGAATTATCTTTTTCTCAATAGCGCTCGATCGAATATACGAGAGCTTATTTTATTAATATGGTCACCCGCATTCAGGCATGTTTCGCTGTATTACAACTCATCAATGTGGCTAATGTGTGCTTCAAGCCGGGATCGAAACCCTACCGATTTTGCATCGGTCGGAGATCCTACCACTAAGCTATCGGCTGAGAGAAAAGGAAATTCTAACGTATTCTAACGGATGTAAACAAACGCCGGTAGCCAGTAGTGCTCGATTCATTAATGAAGATCGATGCCTTATATATATATATATATATATATATATATATATATATATATATATATATATATATATATATATATATATATATATATGTGTGTGTGTGTGTGTGTGTGTGTGTGTGTGTGTGTGTGTTTAAAACAAATGGTAGTATGTATGTGCTTCTTATAATATAGATTTAAGAGGCCGGTTAATGAAATTTGAAGAATAAAATGCCAACAAAATGATACCAATATTGTCAATAAAATTGATATTTATTATATATTAACCTTTTTACTCATGTGAAGCACGAAGAGATAGATTTTAATGTCGGAATTTTCGAACACGCGTGTGTTCTTTTTCAATGACACGAGGTATAAACAAAGAAGCGGGACTTACTCTTCCGAGGAATGTTGTTGGTGTGGAAACTATACTCTCTGAGTAAATTGAAATCACTGCTTAATATGTGAATTCATTTTGAAAATAAATTTCAACTCCTATCTGCGTCTTTCTTCTCGGATGCTTAATGAAGACACTAAAAGCATGTATCTAAACGGGTGAAAGAAAATTGCCATGTTCATGCATATTCATTTTTTATTTTTAAAAATCGTACAGTACATGAACTTAGCGTTTTTCCCTTTACTCGTAAAAATATAATTTTCAGATGAACCCAACAATTTTTTGTCATAGAAATGAATAAGACCCTGAATACGATATTGAGCTAATGTCGAAAATACTCGAAATAAAATGAATATGCATTAACATGGTAATTTTCTTTTTTTCGTTTAATCAGGATACTAAAGAAACATAATTACGAGAGGATCCTATTAAATATAAGTAGAAACAAATTGTCTAAGTTATTTAATGAGACATGTCTTAATGTAAACATGCTGTCGATATAGATATATTCATTATAGTAATTCATCGAGTCTAGAAGAATCCTCAACAGAATTCTTTGGACTGCTGTCTCGTTCTATTCAGTCAGGACTCATCTGTAGCGCGCATCAAGTACCGAGAATCGAACCCGGACCGTTACGATACAACGCAAGAAAATCTGACTAGACTAAATATAGCGCCGCTACTTCGTATATATATATATATATATATATATATATATATACTAGCAGCATGACCCGGCGTTGCCCGTGCTTGATTCAAAAATCGTACGACTCATACAGCAATCACTTGACTTAAAATATTTTTGCCCATCCTTGCCTTTAAAGGAGTGTCCTTTGCTATACTGATGTTGCTATATGCCTTACTTCTTGCCTATCTCACACTGCGAATTTTTTCTAAGCTCTATGCTAAACATTAAATCTGTTACGAAAAAAGAACTAAACAAAATGAACACAAAATGATCAGCTTTAAAAAAGGACTCGTAACTGGAAAAACCGAATGAAAAAAGAATGTTAACAACAAATACTTTTTCACACCCAACCCAATTCGGCGGAATCAGAATCAACGTTGAGTTTAAGCAAGCGAATAAGCCAATTGGAGTAAAGTGACATGCAGATTTAAATTTTTCTCACTTGTGACGAATGCAGCTATCAATTTTTTTGAATGCCATTCATGTCAGTCAGCTGTTGGCTCTCACGCTGGCCAATAGAATC